AGCCGGAAGCTGTGTCTAGTGGGTTCGACTCCGTAGTCATGATGTCCTAAAAACACCCAGGAGCGCCATAAAACACTATGTAACTGTCGCCTACTTAAATCACATATGAAGTTAAAGAAAAAAAGGGACTATAACCATTGGCTCAAGAGTCAGGGACACTATCTGTTGTGTTTTTCTACCTCGAACGGTCGGAGCCAATTCGGTTCACTTGCGACATGAGACTAAAACCATCGTTACAACTTAAAGACCGCTACAAAAATATCTTCCCACTCTAGAAAATAAGAAATTCTCATACTTAGCTCTCAAAATACCCAAAATACGCGAACGCCGTTAAAAACAGGGTCGGAACAGTCCGTGCAGTTACTTTTTATTAGACAGTGGAACTTTGATCCATTTCAGAGGGATCAACCTAAAACTCTCCTTACCTCAACATAACAATTATAAAACACACACAAGAAAACGAAATTGGGTACTCACATATCAGCACACTCGAGAATTGGAGTAACACAATTAACTAGAGACTCCAGCATAAATAATATAACTTAAGAAGTTTGCTATTAATAAAATCCAACAAAGGAAATGAGTTTTCAATCGAGAATTGAAGTTTTGGTTTGGACCATTGGGAGACTCCGGTTGTCCACCTTTCCACCGAAGGTTCACTCTGGTCCTTTTCGAATAACTGTATTCTTCTTTCGCAATCGTTCTGTTTCCTATTTCAGAATAGGACAGCTCTACTCTCGTGTGATTTTTATGTTTCGAAATTGCGAATAGCAATTTCCCGCTGCTTTTTTCAACTACTTTCCCGCGATTGTAATTCGGTTGTTCTGATATTTTTTGCATTTCTGAGATTTTCAGTTGTCGCGAGAAAGTTGAGCATGACAGTCTCAATTCGAATTTTTGAAAAAATTACATTTCACCCCAAAATTACGTTGTTCGTATTTCTCAAGGTCAAACTTCCAAATATGACCGACTGGCACACTAATTTCATGGCACGGGAGAGTACTGCTCCTTCAGTCTGCCCCACTGAAGCCTCCTTTCCTTCTATCGACTTCAAATAATTGTCTTATCGTGCGCGATCGTCACGATAAGGGGCTTCGCTTTTTTCTGTCAATTTTCTCAAGTCAAGTCAAGTCAAGTCAATTTTTTTATGATCATTGGGCAGTGCCTCTTGTGGTCATTTCAAATGTTCTTTCCCATCTCCTTTCGAATTCGTATATGTCAATTCCAATTGCTTTCCAATGTTTATCCAGTTTCCACTTGGATTCGTCGATGGTCTTGCTTTGCACTGTTTCCTGTGGCAGATTGTTCCAGTCGACAGGTGCTCTTATCGTGAAGAAATTTTTTCGCATTTCTAGATTTGATTTACGTACTACTACTTTACATGCGTTCCCTCTAGAGTCCCTATCATTCCCCTCGAATATTCCCGCAGTGGCATTCCTATCATAAAAACCAGAGCAGATTTTATACAATTCTATCATTGTCCCTATTCTCCTGCTGTATTCCAGCGATGATAGATTCAGTTCTTTAAGGCGTTCTCGACCGTCTGTCTCTCGCTAATTCGGTTATTTTGTTGTGTTATTTTTCTGTTTTCCGGCTAAACATGGCCGTCTCTGAATGTCTCAGAAATGTAACGTCGCAATTCGAATAATTCTAAAAATTTTCTACTAGAAATTTCTAGCCTCCTTTACATCAATATATGCCGACTAAAGCCTCTAATGTTGTTTTCGTGCTGCGATGGAAGGTTCCGCTGTGCCAATCCGGGGGAATGGCACAGATATTATGATACTTTTGACCTTCTGATTATGTAGGAATCATTTTGCTTATCTCTCCGGTGTCATTGGTTTTTAATCTACGGTACTTGAAAAACTTAAAAGCATAGCGCATTGGGAAGAAGGAAGTCATTCATATTCCTCCAAGAACTCAGAAAAGTAGAAGATGTCTGAGGCGTATTGTATGCTATCAACTAACTGAAACAATGATTAGACATTGCACTCAGGAAATTGTTTTTCCATTTTTTACGCGAAGTCTCAAAATTTGTCCATGTTAAAATTTGCTTTTTCCTGATTCGACTTATGATTTATTTTCAAGTTCTCTTCTCCTTTTCTTATTTAAATGATGGCAAATTCCACAATCAAAAAGCAAAATTGAAAAAGTCACAATAAATGTGAATGACTTCTAGTTTCAAAAATGGAATTAGTTTTGTGATTTCTTAGCGGAACAAAAAAATTTATCAGTCGATTCTGTTTTTTTTCTAAATTGGATAAGCTTTAAAAAAAATGCCATTCACAGGAACCGGAATAAACTTTCAAGTGCGTTTTTCTCAAATTGGGTTAAGATTAGAAAAAAAGTGAAGAGAACAAAAGTTGCTTAGAATTTCACCACAGTTAATATTGTGCAACTTTTTTTCGAAATTTCGTATCAAAATTTTGCCCCAAAAATATTTCATTTTGGTTTTGTTGGAATTCAATTACGAATTACGCTAAAACTACCAAATTATGCGATGAGACAATTATATCAAAAGAAGCCTCTTACACATCTCAACAAAGTTTTAGGGCGGGTTGAGTTTTCAAAATTTTTTATAAGAGAATATATTTATAGTTGACAGCCAAAAAAGGTCATTTTTACCATATACACGTCAAAATCTAAGGCTAAAAACAAATATCAAACGTTGTACGCAATTTTTTGAAAGTTTTGTCCCTCTAAAACTTTGTTGGGCTGTGTAAGAGGCGTATTGCGATATAATTTTCTCATCAATTAACAAAGTAGTTTCAGCGTAATTCTTGATTAAATGAAAAAAGCCATAATGACCAATTTTAGGGGTAAATTTTTGGTGGCAAATTTCGGAGAAAATAGGTAACCATTTAATTTTGTTGAATTTCTAAGCAACTTTTGTTCTCCTCACTTTTTGTCTAATCTCAACCCAATTTGAGAAGAAAGCCTTTGAAGTTCCAAATGTTCGTTTTTTTTTCCGTATAATTTAAATCAGTACTGTATGACAACCTCCAAGAAAGCTCGTAGGGATTTAAAGTTCAAGTGGTATCAAATTAAAGCGCTCCCAGCCGTAATATAAATGCTGAAAAAAAAATCAAAAAAAATTCTTGGTGTCGCCGAGAAAATTTTGATAGTTTCAAGGAAAATTGTTTTTAAAATTGAACCCCGAAACCGTCTATTCTTGCTCAGTTATGGATTTATGGTTGAAATATGGGAAAGGGGCGAATGATGATTTAAAATAGAGTTTTATGAAAATGGTCAAAGTTGGAAAAATACAATCCTGTTTATTTTAAATTCTTTCCTTAAAATATTTGCTTATCAGTTTCTCTCGCCCAAAATCTTCCAATACCGGTTACAGTTGTAATCAAGTTTTGAAAGTAATTGAAGTTCTGAAAGGCATAGCGCATTGGGAAGAAGGAAGTCATTCATATTCCTCCAAGAACTCAGAAAAGTAGAAGATGTCTGAGGCGTAGTGTATGCTATCAACTAACTGAAACAATGATTAGACATTGCACTCAGGAAATTGTGTTTCCATTTTTTACGCGAAGTCTCAAAATTTGTCCATGTTAAAATTTGCTTTTTCCTGATTCGACTTATGATTTATTTTCAAGTTCTCTTCTCCTTTTCTTATTTAAATGATGGCAAATTCCACAATCGAAAAGCAAAATTGAAAAAGTCACAATAAATGTGAATGACTTCTAGTTTCAAAAATGGAATTAGTTTTGTGATTTCTCAGCGGAACAAAAAAAATTTATCAGTCGATTCTGTTTTTTTTTCTAAATCGGATAAGCTTTAAAAAAATTGCCATTCACAGGAACCGGAATAAACTTTCAAGTGCGTTTTTCTCAAATTGGGTTAAGATTAGAAAAAAAGTGAAGAGAACAAAAATTGCTTAGAATTTCACCACAGTTAATATTGTGCAACTTTTTTTCGAAATTTCGTACCAAAATTTTGCCCCAAAAATATTTCATTTTGGTTTTGTTGGAATTCAATTACGAATTACGCTAAAACTACCAAATTATGCGATGAGACAATTATATCAAAAGAAGCCTCTTACACATCTCAACAAAGTTTTAGGGCGGGTTGAGTTTTCAAAATTTTTTATAATAGAATATATTTATAGTTGACAGCCAAAAAAGGTCATTTTTACCATATACACGTCAAAATCTAAGGCTAAAAACAAATATCAAACGTTGTACGCAAATTTTTGAAAGTTTTGTCCCTCTAAAACTTTGTTGGGCTGTGTAAGAGGCGTATTGCGATATAATTTTCTCATCAATTAACAAAGTAGTTTCAGCGTAATTCTTGATTAAATGAAAAAAGCCATAATGACCAATTTTAGGGGTAAATTTTTGGTTGCAAATTTCGGAGAAAATAGGGAACCATTTAATTTTGTTGAATTTCTAAGCAACTTTTGTTCTCCTCACTTTTTGTCTAATCTCAACCCAATTTGAGAAGAAAGCGTTTGAAGTTCCAAATGTTCGTTTTTTTTCCGTATAATTTAAATCAGTACTGTATGACAACCTCAAAGAAAGCTCGTAGGGATTTAAAGTTCAAGTGGTATCAAATTAAAGCGCTCCCAGCCGTAATATAAATGCTGAAAAAAAAATCAAAAAAAATTCTTGGTGTCGCCGAGAAAATTTTGATAGTTTCAAGGGAAATTGTTTTTAAAATTGAACCCCGAAACCGTCTATTCTTGCTCAGTTATGGATTTATGGTTGAAATATGGGACAGGGGCGAATGATGATTTAAAATAGAGTTTTATGATAATGGTCAAAGTTGGAAAAATACAATCCTGTTTATTTTAAATTCTTTCCTTAAAATATTTGCTTATCAGTTTCTCTCGCCCAAAATCTTCCAATACCGGTTACAGTTGTAATCAAGTTTTGAAAGTAATTGAAGTTCTGAAAATTTTTTGGCCAAGTTTTACGCTCGGTGTCGAGACGCTCTTGAAACTATCAGATCCTCTTTTTTAATGTAACTAGTAATGGGAGAACAATTTTTAGATTCAAAATGGCTTGCACAGCTGCTACAGTATTGCTCTTCGTGCCAAATCTAATCGGCTACATCAGGATATTATTGCTGGTCATATCATGCTGTACAATGTTACATAATCACTACATAACAGTATGTTGTTACCTGCTTAGTCAGTTGCTGGATGCGCTGGATGGACATGCAGCGAGAGCTCTAGGCCAGTCGTCAAAATTTGGTGCTCTGTTAGATATGCTAACAGACAGGGCATCTACAGCATGTATAATGATGGGTTTATGCGTACTCTACCCAAAATATACAGTTGTGTTTCAAATGAGCATGGCGTTGGACATTGTATCGCACTGGATGCACCTTCACGTCTCAACAATCAGTGGAAATGCCTCCCACAAAGCAATATCTCTGGAAGGCAACCCAATTCTCAAATTGTACTACACTTCCAAACCAGTTCTGTTTTTTATGTGTGCTGGCAACGAGTTGTTCTACAGCATGCTCTACTTGATGGCATTCACTCAAGGTCCCATGTTGAGTGGAGTGAACATGTCACTATTCCGCTTCATATTCTATCTTTCTTGTCCCGTCTGGTTCGCCAAGTCGAGCATCAGTTTGCTGCATTTAGTAGTTGCTTCTGTAAATGTGGCTAAAATAGACGCTTCAGATAGATCAAAAGAATCATAAGAGGCATTAAAAATTAATAGTTGGAATTATATAACGGTCGCACTATAGTTTTCATTATGTTTCAGTTTACGTGCTATTTTTACTCTTTTTTTAAATTGCTCTGTTGTGAAATATATCCGACCAAAATCATGAAGTGTCATCTAAGTTTCAACTCAATAGAGACTGATGAAATTCGATATTAACAGAGTTATTTAGGGGTAGTTATTTTTTCAAATCCGGACCGTAAAAAAGTTAAAGAACTTTAATTTTCTATATAAACCCTTGCGATAAGCAAGGTTATTGCAATCGGGTACTGGTCTTATTCCCATAAAAAAATTTGTTCACTGAATGGTCAAAAAAGTTAAGTTTCAGTTCATAATGAATTCCAGTTTTTCTTGCGTCGCCGGCAAACTTAGTCCGAAGTTAATGAATGCACCTGGGACGGCAAATGGGTTCGAATCTGACAGGACCTTGTTTAACGAGAAATAGTCCGTTTCAAAAAAATTGCCGGCTAATTTTTGTCTGCTTTTTTTTTATCGGCAAATGTTCTGCCATATTCTAGAATTTTTTTTATTATGGTTGCTGTTAGTGTTCTGATGTACCTCTTCTGTTTGTTATAAATTTTACTAAACTTGACTTCGTATATTTTGTTTTTTTTTGTTTTCTTTTCGCTTAAAAACTTTATTTCGCCCAAATGATTTCGGCCTACTTTTTATAGGCCAGATGACTTAATTTCGAGTCGTTTCAGCGGAAACATTTTTTGATGCTAGCCTCTGGATTGCACAAAATGCTAAAAATGTTAATAGAAATTATTGTTCATGAGAACGTTTTTTTTTCGGCTTTTTTGTTCATTTTTTTCCTGCTTGATAGGTTTCGGCCTTTATAAATCAGCTTATTGGCCTCATATTGCGCTTCTCGACGAGCAAAAAAGGTTTCGGTGTTTTGAGGGTGAGGGGGACTTATTAACTTTTCTTTTTTTCGGCTTAAAGGGTTTCTGACTAGGTATTTTTTTGGGTTTGTTACCGCTGGGTACGCATACTTCCGATGCTAATTTCACATTCTATTGTCTTGGCATGCTTTTGTTTCAAAACTAGCCTGATTCATTTCGATAGATTTTGTTCGACATTTTCGATTTTTTTTTCTTCATTTTTTGTTTTGTATCGCGAGTGAGCGAAGCTCAGCTTTGCCTCTGTGTTTTTAAATTGCTTTACCTAGATAACTGTGTCGGAATATTCTAAACTACTCGCACAGCAAGCGACATTCGTTTTTTGTAATCACTTGTGAATGTTTACCTGCCCCACTCAGTGATAAATGTATAATTGGAATTGGAATTTTTTTTGAAGTATATGTAAAATGTTAAATGAAAAGAAAAATTTGTTATGAAAAAAGATTCAACTCCTTTTAGTAAACACGTAGCGTTGCTAATCAGCTGTCAGGTTTAACTCACTCAATTTTTGCTATGCGTCTTTTTTAGAAGTAAAATGTCTCGCCTCTAGTGTAACATGTGATGTTACATAATCATGCTGTACAATGTTACATAATCACTACATAACAGTATGTTGTTACCTGCTTAGTCAGTTGCTGGATGCGCTGGATGGACATGCAGCGAGAGCTCTAGGCCAGTCGTCAAAATTTGGTGCTCTGTTAGATATGCTAACAGACAGGGCATCTACAGCATGTATAATGATGGGTTTATGCGTACTCTACCCAAAATATACAGTTGTGTTTCAAATGAGCATGGCGTTGGACATTGTATCGCACTGGATGCACCTTCACGTCTCAACAATCAGTGGAAATGCCTCCCACAAAGCAATATCTCTGGAAGGCAACCCAATTCTCAAATTGTACTACACTTCCAAACCAGTTCTGTTTTTTTATGTGTGCTGGCAACGAGTTGTTCTACAGCATGCTCTACTTGATGGCATTCACTCAAGGTCCCATGTTGAGTGCAGTGAACATGTCACTATTCCGCTTCATATTCTATCTTTCTTGTCCCGTCTGGTTCGCCAAGTCGAGCATCAGTTTGCTGCATTTAGTAGTTGCTTCTGTAAATGTGGCTAAAATAGACGCTTCAGATAGATCAAAAGAATCATAAGAGGCATTAAAAATTAATAGTTGGAATTATATAACGGTCGCACTATAGTTTTCATTATGTTTCAGTTTACGTGCTATTTTTACTCTTTTTTTTAAATTGCTCTGTTGTGAAATATATCCGACCAAAATCATGAAGTGTCATCTAAGTTTCAACTCAATAGAGACTGATGAAATTCGATATTAACAGAGTACTTTAGGGGTAGTTATTTTTTCAAATCCGGACCGTAAAAAAGTTAAAGAACTTTAATTTTCTATATAAACCCTTGCGATAAGCAAGGTTATTGCAATCGGGTACTGGTCTTATTCCCATAAAAAAATTTGTTCACTGAATGGTCAAAAAAGTTAAGTTTCAGTTCATAATGAATTCCAGTTTTTCTTGCGTCGCCGGCAAACTTAGTCCGAAGTTAATGAATGCACCTGGGACGGCAAATGGGTTCGAATCTGACAGGACCTTGTTTAACGAGAAATAGTCCGTTTCAAAAAAATTGCCGGCTAATTTTTGTCTGCTTTTTTTTTATCGGCAAATGTTCTGCCATATTCTAGAATTTTTTTTTATTATGGTTGCTGTTAGTGTTCTGATGTACCTCTTCTGTTTGTTATAAATTTTACTAAACTTGACTTCGTATATTTTGTTTTTTTTTTGTTTTCTTTTCGCTTAAAAACTTTATTTCGCCCAAATGATTTCGGCCTACTTTTTATAGGCCAGATGACTTAATTTCGAGTCGTTTCAGCGGAAACATTTTTTGATGCTAGCCTCTGGATTGCACAAAATGCTAAAAATGTTAATAGAAATTATTGTTCATGAGAACGTTTTTTTTCGGCTTTTTTGTTCATTTTTTTCCTGCTTGATAGGTTTCGGCCTTTATAAATCAGCTTATTGGCCTCATATTGCGCTTCTCGACGAGCAAAAAAGGTTTCGGTGTTTTGAGGGTGAGGGGGACTTATTAACTTTTCTTTTTTTCGGCTTAAAGGGTTTCTGACTAGGTATTTTTTTGGGTTTGTTACCGCTGGGTACGCATACTTCCGATGCTAATTTCACATTCTATTGTCTTGGCATGCTTTTGTTTCAAAACTAGCCTGATTCATTTCGATAGATTTTGTTCGACATTTTCGATTTTTTTTTCTTCATTTTTTGTTTTGTATCGCGAGTGAGCGAAGCTCAGCTTTGCCTCTGTGTTTTTAAATTGCTTTACCTAGATAACTGTGTCGGAATATTCTAAACTACTCGCACAGCAAGCGACATTCGTTTTTTGTAATCACTTGTGAATGTTTACCTGCCCCACTCAGTGATAAATGTATAATTGGAATTGGAATTTTTTTTGAAGTATATGTAAAATGTTAAATGAAAAGAAAAATTTGTTATGAAAAAAGATTCAACTCCTTTTAGTAAACACGTAGCGTTGCTAATCAGCTGTCAGGCTTAACTCACTCAATTTTTGCTATGCGTCTTTTTTAGAAGTAAAATGTCTCGCCTCTAGTGTAACATGTGATGTTTGGCGATACGTTCCAAGGTGGGGCTGCTGTAGATATTTTGGTTGCTCAGGGAAATGTCGCAGTTCCGACCTCTATAAAATCGAACTCAAGGTGCCAGCTAACGCGGTCTTACGAGCGGGACGTGAAAGGAAATGTTTTCATTTTAACTTCCAAAACAGGATCCGTGCCTTGCCTCAACATTCCGAGCGAGAAATCTGCATCATTAAAAATTGTACAGTCTATTTTGTGTCTTCAACTTAACATATCACAGTCATCGGAACTAACCGTTGATGTAACTATTTTCGACCAAGCTAACTCGAAAAGACGTCTCAGTTTTGCAACTGCTCACAAAGTGTCAGCAATTACTCCTCTGCATACGAAGTTGCCATTGAAAAATGTACCTAGAAATTCATGGTTCATGATAAATATTGACCTGCTTACGTTGACATCTGGCTTATACCCTGGACATTCTTTCAAATTCTTGGACTCACTGACAGTTAGCTCGAAATGCAAAGTAAGGCGAATATTCACCGTTCGGGATGTGAACTGTGCTTCAGATTTGCCAAAAGCCGCTGAGTTTCCATTCGGAGTCAAATACGAAACTAAACTTATTAATTTCGAATGTTACGAAGGAATTTTGCTATCGTCGCAACGAATAATACATAGTGCACCAAAGAAGTTAAACCAATCAGCAAACAACATCAAAGCGGTTGCACCAAATAAAGAATTAATAAAAAGTGAGGCAATTAAAAATGGTTCTTTTGAATCATTGGTTAGTAGTCATGGAAGCGAAGAGCTGAATATATCAGGCCGACATGGAATCTCCTCTGCTCCTGTCGGAAAGAGACCAAATCATTGTTCCGTAAACCCTCAACCGCCCGCTCCCTCGAAAAGTGGGAAAAGTAGCAGCAGAATAAGAGCTCGAGTTTATAGCAACGAGAAAGAACCGAAGCCTAGTGCGTCTCCTGACAACGCCAGCAAGGTTCCAGAAGCTCCGGTGCCGGAACCGCCTGTTTCAGATCACGGCTTGTTCACGTTCTCCTCTATGCCCCGAGTAGCTCCTGTTCCAGAGTCACCGTCTGTCAAACCTGTCTCGCCATTTGAAGCAAATAATGTGGTCCAAAGTGCCAAAGACACTTATAGTCCTGCAAAAGAGGGAAAATCAGTTCCACAAATTTCAAAGAAGTTTTCAGATGCGTTCAAACTACAAAGTGGAGAAAACGAAAGAAATAAGAGGAACGTTCATCTGGCCGACGACGGTTTAGACGACGAGAAAGAAAACATGGTGGAAAAGGAGAGAGAATCAGGCGAAATAACAGCCAGGACAAATGTGCACACTCCTTCGGACTACGACTGGAGGAATTACGCTCCACCGGACACTGGTCGCAGTGCCTCATCAGTGGAACAGAGCATGTTAAACTCTATTTTAGATCCCCATTACCAAGATGGAGATACAGACATACACAACCCCCTCTCAGCTTTAGAAGACTTGAGCATGCAATCAAGCAAGTACAATTTGTCGTCTAGGCTAGACTACTTAAACAGCAATAAATCAACTCAGCTTAACGCAATGGCGAGAGCGAATAACCATAATTATGACGAAGCATCGTACCAGTTGCCCTCTTTGGAGAACTTTAGATTAGGGAGGAACAACAATGCAATGAGATCAAGTCCTCCGTTGATGCTACAAAATGAGCAGCTAGAAGAATCAGAAATGGAAAACAGAGAAAGAGAAAGGGACTCTTCGAACGTGAACAGTGAACCGGACGAGGAACTAGAGTTAATCTACGACCCGGACTTGAACTGTTACTTTGACCCAGTCACTAATAAATACTATGAACTGCGTACCTGAAAATCATTCCAAACATGCCTTCTAACATCAGTCATTATAGTTTAGATTAAGTACTTTCTACTGTAGATTTCATAAACATAGTTGTTTTCTATTTATTGCTCCATAATTCAGCTTTATGAACTGATTATTTTCAATTTAATGGACCGTAACAGTTGAAATTGTGAAAATACATATATCAGATTTTTTTCTTAAATATTCGGCTTAGTTTCCCCTCGTTTTATTTTTCCACAGATCATCAATGCGAGCTGGCGTAAATGTGGCCGCTACGTTTTTAACTATTGTACACGATTTTGAACATTGTAATCATATAGGAGTGGGTTTTTTGAATTTTTTTGTCGCGAGTTTTTGCTTTTTTCCATTCACAATGTTTGATTTTCATTAGAAAACGTAAAGAGCACGTGTAATGTCAAAAAACACGTGTAATGATGAAAAAAGAATCTGTTACGAATGCATTTGTAACTTTTGAGTAATCAGTAAGTTACGCATTCAGTAACATTACATGAAAATAAAATGGAAAACTAAACATTGCTACGAAGGGAATAAGTTGGAAATAATTCGTTTTTTTTTTCGGTTTCCTTAATTTGGGGCTAGGTTTTTTTTTAGCAAACTGATTTTTTCAGCAGGCATGGTTTTTTGGCAGACTCAAAAAAACTGAGTTATCCAGTCAAAACGCCAACTTCAAACGCGTTTTGGCAAGTGGCTACCGCTTGCTCGCTCCGCTCAAATCCGAAACGAAAAGAATGGGGCGTGTAAATCAGTACTTGCTGCTAAAACAGTATGTTTTGCCAACAGTTTTGTTGACAAACTGAGGTAATTGTCTTAAGTAGGGAAGTTCAAACTCAGATTACGCGCCGTGTTTAATTCAGTCAATCAATTATGCGTCAATTTTTGCTGCCTTCACAAAGCTGTCACTCAAAGTCTGCTGAAAGACCTATATTTTTTTTAATGCTAAAATCCGTTCCCTCATTTCTACTGAAGTTATGCCAAGCTCGTATCCGTTTTCTATTTTTATCAGCGATTCAGATAACGGGCTTCTAGCTGTGCCGTATCTTCATAGCTCCCATTTTTTACCCTTGCGATAAGCAAGGGTATTGCAATCGGAAATAGACTTCTTTTCCAATGGAGAACTTCGTTAAGATTTAATAAAAGCTAAATTTAGGTTGTTTATAATGAATTTATTGTTTTTGCGTCTATGGCACACTTGGTCTGGAGGTAACGAGTACGCTTGGGACGGCAAAGGTCCGGCGTTTGAAGCTGACATGACCTGTTCTTATTCAAACGGGAAATATTTCGTTTCAAAAAATTGTCAGCCAATGATTTGTCTGTTTTCAATTTGTCGGCTTAGTTGTCACATCGTATTTTTGCTTACTTGACTTCGTATTTTTTCTCTTTTTTTCGCTCTAATACTTCTATCTGCCCCAAATGATCTCGACTCATCTTTTATCAATTTCGTGGCCTAATTTGGAGGTAAACACAATTTTTATGCTTCCTTATGGATAGGACAAAATGTTTAAAATCTTAGGATCAGAAATTATAGCTTTAAGGTTTTCATGACAACATTTATGTTTTCGGTTCTACAGGAATTTCCTAGGTCGATGCTCGGTTTTGCCTCTGTATGTTTTTATATCTTTATAAAAGATTTTTGGCTTAATATTTTTGGGCTCATTTTCTGTCAACCTATCGGCTTATCTGCATTTTCTGTACGTTCTTTCAAAGTAAAATTTAAGAGTTTGGCTGTTTTCTACGTTTGCGGTAGCAAGTGTGTTGCAACAGGGTACTAGTTTTTTTCTCTGTAAATATCTTTGTTCACAGGGCTCATCTCTTCGTCGCCTCTGTTGAAATACTGCAACAGGCATATTTTGAGCACATCAGCTTTTTAATTGTCCATCCTATTCCAATTTTGCTTTTTGTTGGTTGTAATTTGAAAACTAGATTTTTTTTGTTTTCCTCCTTTCTTTTTTCTCCTTCTTTGTTCAATTAGTTTCTAAGGTTTTTTGAACTTTTTTCGGCTTTCTGCTCAGTTCTATTTTCTCAGTTCTAAAGCTTTGTTACTTTTTTAAATTTTCTTTGGATGCTTATTTCGCATTCTACTGGCTTGGAATATCTTTTTTTTTCAAAACTAGCTTTATTCATTTTGGTGAAAGTAGTTTTTTTTTAGATCGGGTGACTTTGTTGTATTGTATCGCAAGTGTTGTGAAGCACCCCTTCGTCTCTATGTGAAGTAACTTCTACAACTATCATATTGATAAAATAGGCATGTTCTTAAAAGAAATGACTTGTGTGTAGTTTTGACAATCACGGTTTGATGTCCAATGTTTGACAAATCTAGTTGATATTTTTTGCGAAAAGTGTTCGAAAGCTGAGCAATTGTCTGAGGTTAGTTCTTGGTAATTATCTGAAACTTGTGCTTCATTTTTGCTTTAAGTTTTTTTTTGTCAAAAGCATTGGATTTGGTTTTCTTTGAGTCGTATTCCGAATATGGGTATACGGTTTTGTATAATAGGGTTTTATTTTTCGAGTGAATAAAAGTTAAAAACATCATTATCTATAGACCATATTTTGTGCAGTTCAATGGCCTTCGCTTGTGTTCCGATCACTAAAGGTCGGAAGGTACTTCGATTTTTTCCACGCAAAGTCAAGTTGCCGAGATAAGGCGGCGATGTTGGCACCTATGGAACAAATTTTTTTGCAAAAATCGTAATGAGACTTTTCCGCCCAAATAATTGAAACGTTTCAGCCAGAGACTCAGAAAAGAACAAAAGATAAGAGAAAAAGAACAAACTTTTATTACAAATAGTCCAGTTTATCTAGACAAACAAAGTTAAAAGACTAACGAGATAGACACGAATATCAAACCTTATGCATTTTAAGTTAATTGAACAATAGCTTACACAAATTATCTAGTTCTTGTGAATTTCAATGCTGGTATTTGAGTGTTATTCGCATTCACATACTTAGCTCTCGTTTTTTAAGTCTCTTTTCCAGCCATGAGTCTCTGTTCGTCTATGTTGAAATTGCCATTCAATCTTTCCAAAGCCTTATTAGTCCTTGATTCCAGTCGGCTACCGCAGTTTTTGTGGCCCCACTCTTCGACCATCTGGCATCGGAACAATAATATCATAATTGCTGAAATTCCGACAACTCTTCTCTTCGCTGGTGTTCGAACCCGAATCTTCTATTGGACTTCGAGATACATGAGTCTTTTCACATTAAGGTAAAATTGATATTTAACTTGGTTTTTGTTCCGACTTTCGTAACGAAAGTAACGGAATATTTGTGCTCGGGGTGGTTTTTTTTCTTCAGACAGTTTTCCACTTTTTAACTAGCCATTTTTGACAGGATTATTTATATCAATCAAAAGGTATTGCTGTCCTGAGCTTAAATTTGAAAAGATATTTCACCTGTGATCATTTTTTGTAAAGTTATGGGGGTTTAAAGATTGCCATTTTGGGCAATTTGGGACAAATAACGCGCAATATGTATATCGCGCTATTAACGCGCGAGCGGAGGTTTAATCCGTCTTAGAAATTGTTCCAAATTGGTTGAAGGAAGCTTATTTGGCATAATTGAATTGTTACTAGGAGCGAAATTTATCACTTTGTACTTTATATGGCGTGTGGGGGATGATTTTCGTAAAAATTTTAAATTTAAAAAACAAGACTGCACTTGTCAGGGCGAAGCCCTGAATGTTCCGACTGCCTTTGAGGTTTATAGAGCAGTAATAACATTAAAAAAATTGAATGTAATAAATTTATTTAACAGTAAATAAATTTAATTGTCCCAAAATGGCAATAACTTTACAAAAAATTATCACAGGTAAAATATCTTTCCAAATTTGAGCTCAAGACAACAATACCTTTCGAATGATTTAAAAAACGCCATCAAAAATGGCTAGTTAAAAAATCAAAATTTGTCTGAAGAAAAAAAACCCACCCGAGCACAAATATTCCGTTACCTTCGCATCAAAACCTTCGCATCGAACAATAATCATTTTTTAAATTTTATTTTTCATGTTATTTTTTATACATTTAATTTTTCATGTTAATACTGCTCCATAGACATTAAAAGGCAGTCGGAACATTCAGGGCCTCGTCCTGATACGAGGAGTGTTGTTCTGTTTTGTGTCCCATTTTTTGTACACTGCGGCATACCGCTTGGTCAAAATAAAAAAGCCGAATTGAATTTTAGTTAAAGGCTGCTGGAAGGTTTGGTACGTTACTTGTTGTTCGTTTAAAGCAATGGATAAGTAAAACGTATCAAGTTAACTTCAGTTTTGCTGTGAATTTTTTTTTTTCATTTAAAACATCTGATGCTACCGTAAACGTTCCATGACATTGGCCAAACATCAGGATGATAATGAAGACCAAGAGCAGGCAAGTTGCAAACGTTAGAGCTCTGTCTGATGATGTGTCGGAGCCGTAAAATGAAAATTAGTCACCCCTGCGCTGATTAGAAAACGACCAATTAGCCAGCTTCCTGTTTTTGTTAATTTGGCGAACGAATGTAGATTAGTAGTGATATTGTCGTGAGCCTAAATAGTCGACATTGAATACAATTTGACAGGAGAATTTTCCGTGGGGGTAGTTTTTCTATCATTTCGGTAGCATTTTTTTGGCAACGTATTTTGTTTGAGGTTGACAGATGACAATGCTGATTGTTAATACTTTGTCTTTTTATAAAGAAACGATTAATTTTTATTCAAATGTGAACTGCTTTAAGGAAGCCAATATCAATGTTTTCAAGATGTCTATAGACATCCAGGGAGACAAAAAATTAAATGTAAAATAATATTATGAACTTTTTTTTTTCTAAAATTTGAATTTTTTAATGAAAATCATCACCCCACACGCCATATAAAATTTAAAAGAATAGTTTTTGCTCCTTGTAACAAATCAATTATGGCAAATAAGCTTCTTTCAACCAATTAGCAACAATTTCTAAGACGGATTAAATCTCGCTTTTGCGTTAATAGCGCGAACTATATCGCGCGTTAATTGTCCCAAAATGGCAATAACTTTACGAAAAATGATCACAGGTGAAATATTCTTCCAAATTTGAGCTCAAGACAACAATACCTTTCGAGTGATTTAAAAAATGCCGTCAAAAATGGCTAGTTAAAAAATCAAAATTTGTC